ACTTCTTGGAGGAGACAGGCTAGAAGTTCCTAATGCCTTGCCCACTTCTGTGTAAACATAACACAAAGTGGTCATGTCTCATCATCATTTTGTCCTGAAAGTCTCCTTATTTCTCTAAAAAGTACAGGATGACAGCATGGCCATTAGAGTACCAAGATCATTACCATAAAATACTAAAAAAACAACCCACCAACTCCATGTGTCAAGCATAATAGCCGAAAGATATTTGTGCATCTTTATTTCAAAAGTATTTTGTTTCCTAATCTTCAATAACTTGACTTACTAGCATATTTAATAATATATATAAACTTCTGCAAAAATACAAATAATATTTTGACTTTTGGTATTTTTATATGCATGAAGTATGTCTTCCCAGAAAAACCCACATTTATATGTGTAAATTCAAATTTACTATGTAGTAACACACACACACACACACACACACACACACACACACACACACACACATAAGCTGTGTGTCTCAAAAAAAAAAACACAAAACACCCCCACCAAATTTAGTAGCAGAAATGGCAACAGATCCTAAGTGAGGACTATACTGAAAAAGAAATGCAAATTCAGAATCATGTCAGGAAATAGATTTTCCAATGGTGATAAAATTGTACATGACACAAGACTAAGGAAATTCTCTAGAGTCATTGCAAAAAATAAAAATACAACAACAATTTAAATGTCACCTTGGGAGGAACAGAGTATTAACTAGTAAAGAAGACTGATAACCTACAAGCCCTCTACTTATTCCAAATATTTATATTTCTGGACAAATGCATGTTTATTTTAGAATTAGGAAAGCATACTGCTTACATCTTAAAAATGTTAGGAGCCAGCAACTAGTTGAATAATTAACAGTTTCCTGACTAAACTATTGCTTCATAAAAGGTGGGTTCCCTCCCATGTTACCCCTTCCTCTTTGCAATCAAAGGCGGGGCCCAATGACTGGCACATGGATACTGCTGAATGAAAACCATAGTCAATAAATTAGTGCATAGGTGAAATTTTGCTCTTAAATATAATAAAATTGGGCCAGATTTTAGAAATGTGAAGAGAGACGTGACTTACATGTCAGTCATTTCACTTCTCTCTAAGGGGTGTCAACTTAGCACTAATGATACTGTCTCAAAATTTAAATATAATATCTTACCCTGCCCTAGTTGGCACAATGATATAAATGGCTTTAGGAAATTCAACTGCTCTAATTTTCTAAAGCTAAATTTTTGTTAAAAAGAAAAAACACAGGTGTGAAATGATATTCCATCACACACTCATGTTTTAGTAATCATTTTGCTCTGTTTTTGTGAAATATCCTCAGAACAACTGAAACTGCTAAATATAAAGAAAACAGTAACAAGAATGATAAGCAATTCCACCCTGACCAGGTAGCTCAGTTGGATAGAGCATCATCCCCTGGTCAGGGCACATACAGGACCCAACCAATGAATGCAGAAATAAGTGGAACAACAAATCCATGTCTCTGTCTATCTCCCCTCCCTCCCTCCCTCTCTCTCTCAAATCAATAAAAAAGAATGATAAGCAATTCCCATTTCTATTGAAATATGAAAGTATAGAATTTATATTTTTAAAAAATATGTTTCTATTGACTTCAGAAAGAGAGGAAGGGAGAGGGAGAAAGAGAGAGAAACATCAATAGGAAGGACAACCTTTAACCAACCGAACCACACAGGCCAGGGCTAGAATTTCTCTTTTTAATCTGAAGTCTAGAAACAAGACTAAAATAGCCTTCCCATAGCTGAGTTTTTAAAAAACCAAAGTTTCTTTGTAAAATAAAACATACTAAAATGTTTTTTTTAAAAAAATAGGGGAAAGTATTATCCTCAGGGACACATAATTTTAATAATCTCAATTTTCAAAACTTGGTTTTTGGAACTAGAAGCAACCGGTTCTTCAAACTGTTTACTAATTTGAGATAAAACGTAAATCAGAGCTCGGCCTCCTGGATGTGAGAGGAACTGCACCAGGCAGGGCAGAGGCCACATTAGGGAACTCATGTGGTGCCGTTCTGAGGTTTAGAATGCATAAAATGATGGGGAACTGGAGAAGTTAAAATTTTAGCTTTGGTTGTATCATTAATAGGCTTGGTAATTAATGCATGTAGAAAGCTATTGTTCCAGGGACTGGAGTATATAACTGGACATGCTCTGACTTCAGGAGCCCCGAAAGCAATTCCACATTTCTGTCCCAGGATGGCTGCAAGGGACCAAGATGGTATCTGAGCCATTGTCCTCCAGGGAGAGAATGTCTGCTGCCCAGGATGCAGATAAAGCATCACCAGTCAGGTGACAAAGGGATGCTCGAAAAATCACCAGACTGCAGTTTTTATATGATTAACCTTTTCCCCTGAATTCCAAACCCTTTACCTACACTTTTCTTCTCCTTACAAAAAGGGTTGGCTTGAGCCCTAGCTGGTTTGGCTGTGGGCTGAAGAGTCCTGGGTTCGATTCTGGTCAAGGGCACATGCCCAGGTTGCGGGCTCGATCCCAAGTAGGGGCGTGCAGGGGGCAGCTGATCAATGATTCTCTCTCATCATTGATGTTTCTATCTCTCTCTCCCTACCTCTCTGAAATCAATAAAAATATATTTTTAAAAGGGTTGGCTTGAAATGAGATGCAAGACAGTATTTTTAGGGTACATAACCTGCCCATCTTCTCAGATCGCTGGCCATCTGAATAAAGCGCTCACAAAGATTCAATCCTTGCCTCTACTTACTGGTTCTGATAGTGACAGGTAGCACGAATGCCAACTTTTCCGGTTTCAAAAATATCTCCTCAATTAGAAGCACCTCAGTTATAAGATGGGCCCTTTTATTCCTGAACTTGACTCCAGAAGAGCAAATGTTCCAGTTTTCTGAAGTACAAAAGACTTCTTTAAATGCAAAGCCCAGGTTCTGTACTAAAGAGCAGTGCTTCTCAAACATTAATGTGCAACTGAATCGAGGACTTGTTAAAATGCAGATTTTGATTCACTAGGTTTGGGGTGATGTCCAGGATTTGCATTTCTAATAAAATCCCAGATAAAGTGGATGTTACTGATTCATGGACCAACTTGAGTGCAAGGATATATAGGGCATACATTTGTAGCTTCCCAGACTTTACCATCTAGTGGGGGAAAACTTGTAAGTAAACATGTAACCATAGTAGTTTTCTTTGTCATTCCTACCTACTGATTATCTAATATGGCGGTAGTAAGTATTTATTTTATTATTTCTTAATTATAACTTCTTTTCATGAATATCTTGACATAAAATGATCCCATAGAAAAATATACACAAGATAAATATTATGAACAGTTTCACTTAAAAAAGAAGAAAATCAATTATGAAAAAATTAAATTGTACATGACAAGCTTCCCAACTGAAATAATTAAAAGTGTTTCAGTAAACAAAGAAGAAATAAACTCCTCCTACACCCATCCAATTATTCCATTAAAGTTTTTTGGACGAAGTCAACATTAACCAACAGTGTTCATTTTATCTCTATTTATATCTCCTGTTTTAAACAACCAGCTGAGTTAAAATATAGGGATTTCCTAGTCATTCAATATTGAGTATCAACAATGCGTTAGGCACTGGGCTGGGTGCAGAGGACAGAGAATGAATGAATGGGGAGAGACAAGTAATAAACAAGTAAATAATTCATTGGAAATAGAAACATCCAGCACTACTTTGCCAGGCATGTGAGTGAGCCCCTCTGGAAACAGATTCTCCAGCCCCAAGCCTTCAGGTGACTGCAGCCCTGGCTGAGCCTTGATGGTCATCTACTGAGAGACATGAGCCAGACCACCCAGCCTGGCCATTCTTGGGTTATTGATCCACAGGCACTGTGTGAAACAATAAATGTTGGTTGTTTTAAGCCACTAAGGCTTGGGGTGACTTGTTACACAACCATGAACAACTACTACAGAAAGAAGTGAGTGAGAGGTAAGAACACACCTATTTAACGAGGGTGGTCAGGAAAGCCTTCTTTAAGAAGAAGACATCTGCCCAGCCGGTGTGGCTCAGTGGTTTAGCATCGACCCATGAACCAAGAGGTCTCTGGTTCCATTCCTGGTCTGGGCACATGCCTGGGTTGTGGGTTTGATCGCCAGGAGGGGGCATGCAGGAGACATCTGATTGATGTTTCTCAGTGATGTTTCTATCTCTCCCTCCTCCTTCCCCTCTTTTCTAAAAAATCAATAAAAACATATTTAGAAAGAGAAAAGAAGACATTTAAGTTGAGACAGATAAAATGGAGTCAGCCCTGAGCAGAAGGTGGTTCTTTGGTGGCAAGATGAAGAGCACTCCAGAACAAGGGCACCAAGTGAAGGTCCTGAACAGTAGACGGGGCAGTGTTGCCAGAGCTTTCCGACAGGAAAGGGGGAAAGATGCAGTCACCGAGGTGGTCTTAGCCATACCAGGCAGGGCCTCTTGTAGAGAATTTAAATTATTCTCAACACACTGGGAATCCTTTCATGAGTCTTTAGCAGAAGACTAACGTGAAGCCCTCTGTTTTAAAAACCTCCGTGGGGCTGCCGTATGGGAAAGGAATACTTATGCCAGGCCTGCTATCTACTCTTCAGTCCTTCAGAGGCTCAGATAAGCATGATCGGGAAAGGCTTAAAAGTATGAGGAAATGGCATGAGTGTGTCATTACGATGACTACGACTGTTGCTGTTATTCCAGACTCAGGCCTGGCGTGGCCTCGGGCGTGCTGCAGGGGAAGAAACAAGCGGAGGGGAGAGCAGCAGGATCTCTGGTTTCACAGGACCTCATAGCCTTTCCTGAGGCAGCCTCTGAACCTCAATGCACCCAATTCCAAGCATAGACGGGGTGTATACTTGCTAACCCTACAATGTTGATGAGGAACAAGAACGAATTTGCAGTACAAATATTTACTTTTGGGGATAGGTATGACTTTTAAAAATATATAAACCTAATTTTCATTATGTAAGTAATGCTCATTGTAGAAAAATTCTCACTTATTTTGCAGGTAATGTGTATTGTAGAAATTTTCAAGAACAAATATGTAAAAGAGAAGAAACTAAAATTACCAGTTACCCCAATTACTCCAAGGTAAGTACTGCTTTCAACTTCCTTTTGGTAAGTATCCTCTTAGTATCCCTACGCCTATATATGGAATATATACTGGTTACAACTAAGATTTTTAAAAAACTTTTTCTCCTCCATTATAAAAACCATAAATGCTTATTTTAGGATGTTTGAAAAATACAGAAGAAGTAAAAATGCTAACACCAATAATATGACCTCTATCTATTTCTTTCTGAGAATCTAAAGGTAGCTGAAACTCACTCAAGTCTGCAGCTGTCGCTCTGAGCTGCCATTTTACAAATATTCACTTCCTTAATTTCAGCCTACCTCCTTAGCTCATTAAGAAAGGAAAACTGAAGTTGAGGACTGTTCACTGCATAGAGGATTTGGCATATCTGTATACCTCACTTGAAAACAGAAGTTGAGGACTGTTTACTGCATAGAGGATTTGGCATATCTGTATACCTCACTTTGAGATAAATAAGTTTGGGGGGGGGAATAAGAGACTCAAATTCTGCTAACAACAGCTCTCTGTAATATATTATAGGGGCAGTGCTTGAAGAAATGGATAAACTTAGAGTAATTCACACAATAAGAATGCACAAACAGAATTTTTAACCTCAAAACAAAACCTGTCTGGTGAAGTATATTAAATTCTGGTTATCTGGTTGCCTACATTTCTCCCAATGTATTTTCAATGACCTAAATCCAAGTTTGAAGTAAAAGTTCATCCCTTCCTGGACATCAGCCATTCTTATTTTCATGTGCTTCCCTGGACTTGCCTGCAAAGTCTGTTGTTGCTATCCCAGGCATCACCCAGAACCACAAGTGCTGTGAGCCCAGAGAAATGCAAATCTCAGTGATAATCTTGAATATTTTATCCAACAACTAGAAGCCATTTACTTAATGGAAAGTATTACAATGCATGATGCCATTCCAATCAAGGCTTAATTCATTTGCAGGCAGACTTTCAAGAGCTTGAACCTGCATTTTGCTTATAAAAGGAGCCACTCCACAGTTAAATTTCACAGGAATTTAAACCATCCATCCACTGCCAACCTGATCTAGTTTTACCCCTCTGATGCTACGGTTACCTTTTCAGATTCATTGGAAACATTTTTAGCCAACAGGTCCAACAGAGACTGATCTTGATGTACCTGGACTCTGAAAAGCCGTGGTGGAGGCTGGGCCTGGATTGCATTATAGTATGGCAACCCGAGATGACTCTGGGGTATGGGGAAGTAGGGGGAAGCAATGATCAAATAGGGTTTCATTTACACCTTTGCTTGTAATTTAGATGTCTTGTCTAGATTAAAGCCATTAGTGGGCACAAATGGAGAAAATGTGTTTGAGTGTGATATGGTTTGAATTTCTACTATCTAACTATGAATCAAAACCAGGAACAAGAGTAATATGGGCATACAGAAGCAGCCAGAGAGAACCAAGACTGTTTGGTTAAAGGTTATATCTGGTTTCATAATAAAGGGGAAGCTAGGACACATAATAGAAATCACTATATATTATTTATGTATAGTTAGGGTGCTATATTAAATTTACAATGAATTTTCTATGGTTCTTGCCATAGACTATGGATTCAGTCATTTTCAAGACTCTTTTAGTAATTTTTATAAATTCCCATGGTAATGAACCCCTTCAAGTATTGTTAAATATAAGCTGTCTGAACTGGGGTGGATTACATCAGACTAGAGTCAATAGTCTATAAATGGTCCTTCTTTTCAGAATTCTGTCTCAATGAGGTCTGTTTCTATAATAAAATGGAAATCTTATTCCCCCAGAATTTCTTGTAAGAAGAATTTCTTTTTTTATTGAGTTTATTGGGGTGACATTGGTTAATAAAATTATATAGGTTTCAGGTGTACAATTCTATCATATGTCATTGGTATATTGTATTGTGTATATACACCCCAAATAAAGTCTCTTTACATCACTACTTATTCCCCTGTACCCTTTTCTACCCTACTCCCCCGCCTTTCCCTCTGGTAACCACCATACTGTTGTCTGTGTGTATGAGTTTGTTTTTTGCCTTAATCCCTTCGCTTTTTCACCCAGCCCTGAAACCCCCCTCCCCTCTGACAGCTGTCCGTCTGTTACTATATTTTGTTCATTAGATTCCACATATGATTGAATTCACATGGTAGTTGTCTTTCTCTGACTGTCTTATTTCACTTAGCATAATGCTCTTCAGGTCCACCCATGCTATTGCAAAAGGTAAGAGTTCCTTTTTTATGGCCAAGTAGTATTCCATTGTGTAAATGTACCACAGCTTTTTGATCCACTTACCCACTGATGGACACTTGGGCGGCTTCCAAATCTTGGCTATTGTACATAATGCTGCAGTGAACATAGGGGTATATATATTTGAAAGGAATACGTTGATAAACCACTTAATGTGGAAGTGTGAGATGCTAAGGACATGTCTAGTAATAAAAGATGGTTTCTACACTACAACATACAATATTAGGAAAGGAATCTGCATCCCTCCTAAGAAGCAGAAGGAAATAGAGAAGAATGAGCACTGCTGGGAGAAGGGTGTGGACCACAGAGAGAAAAGCCTCAGTTCTGGGCCAGCGGAGGGTCTCGAGAGGGTGGAAGTGTCTAATATGGACTCTGATGCTCCTCCTTGCTTAAAAAGAGGTGAATGAGAGTGTGTGAGTGTGCACGTGTGTGTGTGTGTGTGTGTGTGTGTGTAGGGGGTGATTTACATCTGATAAAAATCTCCTCTGTCCTCATCTTTCACTAAAATCCACATTGCTCACCAGCTTATTTGTGAACATAGATTCTTCTGAGTTCCATTTCTGGGTAACAGTGGGGGGCACAGAGATGGCACAAACAAACACTGACACTGAAGGGAAAGAGGCATTGACATTTGGGTTATTATAGTGCTACTACTACTAATTACTATATTTTAGTATGAAACAGTATATTGATGTCTGTAAACAAGAAATACAATCTAACAACTAACAAATGATTCTTTTTCCCAATCCTATATAATAAAAGGCTAATATGCAAATAGACTGAATGGCAGAACAACTGGTCACTATGATGTGCGCTGACCACCAGAGAGTGCGAGGGGAACAGTGGGCATCGGCCACGGAGGGATGGTGGAGGAGAGCGGGGATGCCAGACCAAGGCGGGGCGCTGGTTAATGTCATCGGTTTGAGCCTCTGCTGATTACTGAAAATTCTTTGCTGCTGTGTGCCATGGTCCCACCCGGCGCTCACACCTGTTGCCAGCACTCTGCGCTGGCTCCGAGTGTTGAGCAATCAGGCCCCTATCGCCGCTCCCCCTGCTCCTGAGGGGCAATTGGGACAGCAGCCACCACTTGCACCCACTAATGGCGCTGGCCCCAATTGCTCTGCACCGTCAGCAGGTGCGAGTGGGGCTGGCGCTATCATTGCGTGGGAGCGGCAGCAGCAGTGGGAGTGGGGCAGCCAGGAGACAGGGGACCGGGGGCCACAGAGGGAGGGGCGGGGGGGGCAGTGCAAAGGATGGGCCGAGACCCACCCCCGGGGGCCAAGGGAGGGGCGGGGGGGGCAGTGCAAAGGATGGGCCGAGACCCCCCCCTGTGCCCACCGCAGCCTCTCGGCCCACAGTTCTTTTCAAGGTTCATGAATTTGTGCACTGGGCCCCTAGTAGAAGTATAATTGACACCATAATTCATAGATCTAATAATCCTTTTCTGCCTTAGTCACTGGCAATGTTTACTTTTTCTGGTGTTTTTATGAATGCTATTCTTACCAATAAGCAGTGCCCACCCCCCACCCCCCAACACTCACAGAGAAACAACTGGCACAAATGATCAGAAGTATAATTGACAACATAATTCATAGATCTAATAATCCTTTTCTGCCTTCGTCACTGGCAATGTTTACCTCTTCTGGTGTTTCTGTGAATGCTATTCTTACCAATAAGCAGTGCCTGCCCGGCCCCCTCCCCACCCCCACCCCCAACACTCACAGAGAAACAACTGGCACAAATGATAGTTGGGGGAGGGGTGGAGAGGGTCAGGCTTGGAAGAGGGGCTGGCCATCTAAGGATTAGTTGAGATGATACAGATAAGGCCCTTCCATCGCATCCCAACATACAGTAAACACTTAACAAATGTGACCGCTATTATTAATAGTAATAGGAACACATTAGTCCTTCTGCCTGCTTCTGTCTCTAGGGAAGGTGTTGCCATGGCACAAGGACAATTACCTCAAAGACGCAAGAGAGACAGGAATAGGGTAGAGATTACTCCTCTTCGTCCGAAGATTCAACAGAAACGTTAAGGTGGGGTCCACCTCTCTCACTACTAACTCTTTTTCCCCTCCCTTTAAGTGTGACTGAAGAAAGCCTGCAGCATTCCTGGCAATTAGATTGAGGACTCTCAGTTCCAAATGCATTTTTGATAGATGCCTCTAACTGCATCTAAGTGGTAGGAGCATTTCTCTCAGCATTTAATGCTAATCGTCTCTGTCATCTAGGCATAAATAACTACACAATCATGTCAGGAGGCCCAACATAAATCCACTAGGGGTTTTAATCACTCTCCAGTGAGTGTGTCTTATACAAAATCAGAGCATGAAAACCCAACCAGTGAGTGTGTGTGTGTCGTGTGTGTGTGTGTGTGTGTGTGTGTGTGTGGTGTGTGTGTGTGTGTGATAGCCCCAGCCCAGCCAGGGCATCCTTTCTGTACTATGGAGGAATAAGATCAGAATCCACACCCAGTTCAGGGTGTGACAGTACTGCAGGCTTGGTCAGGAGAGGGATGATCTTATGTTGGCATTGCTTGCATCACTGTTTCTTCTTCTGAGGGCACATAAATGATGGTTACAAGCTTAAGCTGCAGAGTCCAACAAAGCTGGGTTCAAATCTCAGCCTGCTGCATCCTCACTGTTTGATCCCAGGCAATCTCCCTGATCCTCAAGCTCCTAATCTGTAGGGGATCATAAGCGTACATATGGCATAGGTTGTTGTAAGGATTAAGCAAGATCATCTATGCAAAGCACATTATGTAGTATACAGTAGGTGCTCAATAAATATTAGCAACACCAAGAGAAATGCAAAGGGCGTCCCTATCTCTGCTGCAAGGCACAGGCTGTTCGGAGGGTCCAAGTGTCCTTTCCCCACCCAGGACTTACATCTCCCATCTGTGCCAAAGAGTGAGCATAATGAACAAACTGCTATAGATCTCACAAATTCAAAACCAAACCCCTACAAGTTCATTTTATGTATAACTTTTAAAAATTGAGGCTCAGATAATCCAGTCTCAGAGGGCTATCCATTTCAAAGAAACAGCCCAGCAACCAAAGTGAATCAAATCCCTTATTTAGGTTCCTCAGATTCTATCAAAGGTTGACTCAAATAAAAAAACACTGACATACTTCTTAATGCAGCATTGCTTTCCTTCTAAACTCTATTACACTATTTAGCAGCACTGGAACTTCTCTCTTCAAGGCCCCAGAACTCTGCAAACACACAGCCTAGAGTGGCTTCACTGTTTCTCAATCCACTCACCCGCCCCTCTTCCCCAACTAACTTTTTATTATACAGATCAGCTGTGCCTCTCTCCTAGCCAGCAGGACGGTCTCCTACTTAGAAGTGGGCAGCAGAGGTAAAATGAATGAGCTGATCTTTAGCGATCATGGGGAAGGGACAGCACTACAGACTCATATAAATAAATGGTTTTTGCCTCTGAACATGCAAAATGCAAGAACACTTCACTGAACCTTTCTCCTTCCTCATTCTTAATTCATTACTTTACTTGCAAATACAAAAATGCAAAGATAAAAGGCCTTACCAAATTAGAAATGTATGTCTCCTATCTCTCCTTTGCCTTGTCTTAAAAAAAGGAAAAGGTCATTAAGTTGTTAATAATAGCGAACTCTACTCTTAAAGCTGCGCTGAGACAAGTCATTGGAAGGATGGAAAAGAAACGACAAGGAACGATTAGGTGCTGCCAACTAGCTGATCTGTTTTCATAAAATACTTCAGACATAAATGGCATTTGTATGATGTGGAGGAGGCTCTGCCCCTCCCCCCTCCCACACACACACAAAGAGGGCAGAGACCGGCAAAGTAAGTGGTGACTGGCAGGTACCTAGATAAGGGGCCACTGCCCTCTAGTGTGTACTCTGAAGCTTGCAAAACCCCTTTAACCTGGTTAATCAGAGATCCCAAAGACAGTAGAAAACAGAATAAAACATGAACCCCCGTGGAACTACCCAACAGAATCATTTTAAAATAATTTAAATCATTAAGAGAGTGCGATCTAATGGCTTCGCACACCTCACTATCTGTTGGGGCCCACACTCCCATCAGGCCATAAAAAGTGATTTGTTGTTTCAGTTGCACAGATTGCCAAAAGGACAGGAGAGATATTAAACATATTTAACAACTTGGTTTTGCACGGCCACTGGCATTCAGAACAGATGCCCACAAGCTGCCAGCTGGCAGCAGTTCTGGGGGCACCTCCAGGGCCAGCATTCACCCCTTAAAGGCGGATTCAATTGGAGGCTGGGGGTTCCTGGGAGATAGGGTTAGGTACCCAGGAGAAGAGGGGGCCTGGTACAGAAGAACATTAATATTGTAACAAACAGTCATCTGTACTGCGGTGCTGTGGCTGAGCATTAGCTCCACAGAGGGAATAAGAGGACCTGAGACCAACAGACCAGCACCACCCGGCACCGTGGAAGAGTGACCCAGAGTCGAACAGCAGAGCTCCCACGGAGAGGGTGCGGGCCCTCATTTCCCACCAGCAGCGGTTCCTTCTCTTGCCAACAAGGAGGGACATGCCCCTAGTCCAGGGCAAGGTCATGGTGGGGTGTCAGGAAACCCACCTTTTAGTCTCAGTTTTCCTGCTTCTCCCTATGTGACATTAGGCAGACATTTTATGATCTGGGCTTCCATGTCCCCATTTTTTTTTAAATAGCAAGGTTAGACAAAGGTTTTTTTAAGGACCCTTTCATCTTTAGGTAGGAATTGCTGTCCTTCTTCATGATCTGGT